AGAGAGAGAGAGAAAGAGAGAGAGAGAGTGGGTGGGTAGAGAATGAAGAGCATAGAGTTTCACTCCCCCTCTACCTTTCCCTCTGCCCCTCTGTCTCTCGGATAAAGAGGCATGCAGAAGGAGCCCCCCGCCCCCTCCATTTTCCATAAAAATATTTTTTTAAATCATACTAGAGGGTGTCAAAAAACAAAGGACAAATGTAACGGAAAATTGCTCGGTAATGGAAAGCACCAGTTTCAACAAAACTTCAAACAAGAAAAATTCAAATAAAGAAGCGTCAAACTAGTTGCTTTGGAAAAACACTCAGCCTGTCAAAACTATATCAAATTTGTGGTTTTTTGAGTTGTTTTTTCCTTAAATTTCAATCAATATTGGTTATAACTAACGCAAATCTTTACAACTTAAAAAAAATCAAACATAGCTAAGGTATATCTGCATTAAAGTACAAATTTAGACAGTGTGTCAAAATAATATACCCGTTCAAAGTACAACGTTTTCCTTTGGAGGGTTTTGAGTTTTGAAAGGGAGACTCTGAGAAAAAAAAACTTCAAACAGACGAACAATTGAAACTCAGTGTTGAACAGGAGATCCAAGAATCGACTCAGAAACATGTCGCAATATTATTCAAAGTCCTCAGCATTAAATAGCCAGCACCCTTGTAGAGTTCTTTTTTTATTGTTTGTTTGCTTTCTTTTGTTTGGGTTTTGGGTTTTTTGGTGGCAAAGTCAATATCAAAAGATGTTGTTCTTTAATGCACAGATACACGACCGTATGGTTGATTTTTTCTTTAAAGTAAAAATTCGCGTTATACTCAATTTTAGTTGGAATTGTCTGATAATGCTAAAATAAGTAGATTGATTTTCTCCATAACATTGACAAATTTGACGTTCCTCTGGTTGTGTTGTTGCTCTTTGAATGGATTTGTCGGGGGGTTGGGGTGGGGGGGGGTTGTGTGCTTTTATTTTTAGATAAACAGTAAAACAATAATATTCCATAAGCAGCTAAACTGTATATTTAATAAATTATTGATATTCGGGTTCGTAACCACCAGTTAGCAACAAGAATGCACATTCTGTTGAGAACGCAAAACCACTGCACAACTGCACAGCAAACGAGCCAACCAGGAAGTAATGCTTGGACGCCCCTGATGTCTGAACCGAGGGGAACGGGCTCATGTTACCAGATGTAGGTCAAGAATAGGGGGGGGGGTG